ATTAAAAGAATGGTAAATAAAAAGCAGAAAATATTTCCTGTCTACTACTTCATGCACCTTATTTGTCTGTATGTAATTAATGTAAACAAATCAATCACAGCATAACCTATTTGATCTTATTTGGAAATCTGGAAAAGGTAATTGGGCTTGCAAACAGTATGTTTCCATGGACGTATCTGGACATACCCAGAAGCAAATATCCAACAGCTGATCTGCAGCAATTCCCAGTAAAGTTTCCCTCTTCAAAATCTGCACACCATCCTAAAATGACACTGAATATAAGGACATCCATTTTTTTATCATCCTTTCCATTTTATTTTTCTATATGTATTTTGTTGTGGAATCCTAATTTACATACAAACTTCCACAATACTGGACTTCATGAACTGCCAGCATTTATGTACAGGTATGTCACAGCACCAGAACACAAAGAAGATCCAAGATACAGTCTGCACCTGTACTCTAGCTAACCCATCTTCCAGAAATAGGAAACCTGTGATGCAAAATCTTTGAACAGAGGATCCACAGTTATCCGAACAATTAACTAGCATTGAAATAGAATGTTACACAAAATACAAATGTATTGTTTTTTTCATCAGTGATGTTTAACTGCTAAATACTAGTGTAAATAAGGTGCAAAAAATATATCCTTTGTTCAAAGCTTTTTGTCAATACAATTACATTAATTGACATTAATGACAATCTTTGTTTTATTAGATCTGAGACCATATCCCTAGAGGACATAACACTGAGTTTGATCTATTTCCTTTTCTGAGATACTTACTAGTGTCATAAAACTTATAGTAAAGTTGATTCAAAATTTGGTAAAAGTCATAACAAAGGTTTAGGAAAGCACACATGAAAATATCCTGAAGCATTCACCTCCTGCAAACCAGTGTGCAATTTAATATGAAGCTCATTTTCCAAATAACCTTCAATAAACCTTGAACAATTCTGTGGATGTTAAAATAACTTTAAAGAGTTATGATACTAGCAATCACTTTCAGAATTATCTTATTAGTAAATATATTATTTTAAAAAACATCTAAAAGCAGGAGCCAAGAAACTAAGTTAACACTAAGTGATTGTCCTGCCATGATATGTATAGTGTTTGTTTGCCTAGTTCTACCTTAAAATCATATGAATATGATATGTCAATCAATTAAATAATTATTTATAATTCATTAGATGTTATTTATTTTATTACCCTTCCACGTTTACTAAAAAAAAAGCTAGATTCTTAAAACATACCTTGCTATCATTTCCAGTGAATTAATCAAAATGGCAGTTGTAATGTTACTCCTAAAATGTACCAATATATGTGAATAATTTATGTTGTAACAAAACTTCAAATAATGTTCTCATAATTAAGATATACACTTTATTTCACTCCATCCAATACTCCAGAAAGTCACCATTCTTCTCACATAGTTTTCGTATTCGATCAACATGGAGGAATGTAATTCATTTTTAAAAAAGTCCCATGCATCTCTTTATAAAAATTCTGAAATATTTAAAGCATGGTTTTATAGGCACTCATATGACTTAATTTTGATACTTGGATATTGCATGATAGGCAACTTTAAAACTTTAAACATCCTAAAATGTGTGACAAATATGTGAGAATATCCACCACCTTGTTCTTTCATGTAACAAGTTTTGCTATTTCGGTCGACCCTAACGGAAATCAGATCGCTGTCAGATTTGAGAACTGAGAACTGAGAAGTTTATTCAGTAGTATTTGGGCCATAAGGCCTATGATACAGTTGACAAATACAATTTAAATTACACGTGATCATAAACATTTGAGATAGATAGCTGTTAGATGCTGTACATTACTGTTTTGTGACATGAAAATTGCCTGAATGGTTAGTGGGCCTCTGTAGACTGATTGTAGCTTCTGTAGATATAGAGTTCTGGCTTGATTATACTTGTCACAAACAAAAAATACATGGTTCTCATCTTCATTAAGGTTATGATTACAAAGTTCACAGATGGGGTTGATTGCCGTTGTATCTTTATTGGTTCTTAGCTTGTTTATCTTGAAGTTTGTTAGCGAAGCTCTAAATTTGAAGTAGACTCTTATTAGTTGTTTGTTCCTGATGTTCGTGATATATGATTCTCTTTCCAGTGAAAACTTGAATGAAGCGTAGTGGGTAAGGAAACTTGAACCGTTTATCTCATGATGCCAGTTTTGGTGTGATATATCTTTGAGGCGCTGTTTTAAACATGATAAGAAATTATTTACATCTCCGACATCCTGTGCGATCCATACATGTGAGAATCCTATCTTGAACAATGTTTCTCTAATATCAGAAGTCCAGTTTCTTTTTCCTACATCATTGAGTTATTTAAGCATTCGGTAACACTGGTGTGCATGGCGATCAGTTATCATTCGTAGAACTTTTATCCAGTACTTGATGGCCTTTACTTGTGTTGATATATAAATCAAATGTCTTCCAGTGTCGCCAAGAATTGCCTTGTTTGAAGCAAATTTTCCAACTTTGAGAAGGTGTTTAAAGTAGTTTGACTGAACTTTTTCAATTGAAGCTGAATACTTGCATCCCCACACTTCTGCTCCATAGAGGAGTATTGGTAAAACTTTAGTGTCGAATATCGTACATGCAGTTGAAACGTTATTTCTTTATTTTTCTGTAGGAATCTATTTATTGTGAGGCATGCCTTACTAGCTTGCTGTGCGAGAGTGTCACATGCTTTTGTCCATACCAGTCGTGATGAGAAGATAAGTCCAAGGTATTTGTAATAGGTGACGGTTTCGATAGGCAGTCCTTTATAGGTCCAATTTTCATTCTGTGCTAGTTTTCCACCATTTCTAAAAACTATAATCTTGGATTTATTAAAATTCAGTTGTAACCCTGATTCTGAGCAGTAGGATTCCAGTGTGTTAAACTGTCTCTGTAAGCCGATGATGGTAAATGAAAATAACACAACGTCATCCGCAAAAAGTAGGAGCATCAAGTCTTCAATATCTGGGGTGACGAATATTCCACTTGTACATGATCTATACATGGCTGTTACAAGTTCATTTATATATAATATAAATAACACTGGACTGAGAATGCAGCCTTGTCGAACCCCTGCAGATGTTGAGAATATTTCAGTTGCGTTTCCTTGCACCTTCACACACGCCCTGATCGATGAATACATGTTCTTGAGAAGAGTAATGACTTTTCCATGACATCCTTTTTGAAGCTGTAGAGTTAACATTCTTTTCCTGTCCACAAGATCGAAGGCCTTTCGGAAGTCTATAAAACAACAATAAAATCTACCCTTTGGTTTACAAAGATATTTTGAGCATAGTGATTGAAGCGTGAATAGGTGATCTGCAGAAGAATATCCGGGACAGAATCCAGCTTGACTCTCTGATATAAGTTCGTTTGTTTCAAACCATCGTCTTAACCTTTTTTCGATAATATCAGTAAATATTTTACCCATAACGTTGAGAAGTGAGATACCCCTATAGTTGTTTGGATCCTTTGGGTCTGCTGTCAGATTTGTTTACATTGTGTCACAGCTTTCTCACCTGTCTCATTTGAGCTTCATGGCGTACCAACTTAATGCCCAGACGTGACTGAAAATGTTAAGCAAAAACAATTTGGTAGTTACAAGAATTGTCCGTGTTTATAACACTTGCAAAATCTTAAAATGCTTTCTGTTGTCATCAATTGGTAATGATTTTGCACATGTGCAAAAGTGTGGAAATTCGTGCAAATTCTCATCTGCAGGCAGACGTAGGTTTCATGAACGATAGTGCAGACATTTAACTGATCGTTAGGCATATCGCGCTCCATGGTACACATCAAATCGCAGCAATATGTAATATCGCTTCGGAGGCATCGTTTGACCCCGGAAATAAGTCTGACAAATCCACACTGATTGGAAATAAGTCTGACAAATCCATGCTGATTGGCCAAAATTGACGCATGCACCAGTTTTGATTGACAGACTGGATCAGTCTATTGTGTTGACACATTCCCTAAATTAACTGGCACTAATTGTGTTGACATGTTGCTTGGATGATTATAGTATTTACAGTAGGATGCTTGGATTACAATAGATGCGCTTACTGACCTTAATTTGAAATGTTTCCACAATATATTTTAATGGAGGTGATGACATGTTCAAAGCAGTTCATTAAATCGTCTAGTCTTAACTTTGTCTTACTGAAAGGTTTGTCTAACAGCTTGAGTCCTTAATACCTTAGGCTAGGATTTTATTTTGAACATCTGTGAATATTTGTGCAGCCGTAATTTACACCTATTTCAATAGTATGTCTGTGAGATGAGTTTTACTACTTTTGACTGGAGTCTTTTTATCTAAGCTATTACTGATACCTGATGAAACTAATATTCTATATTTATATTTTCCCTATCTGAATCCTAATATATCGCTTGTAGTGGTTATAATGAATGATGAATTTTTGTATGAGTTATTATTTCATGATATTACACCTAGTCCTTCCTTATACAATATATGGCATTCCATTACCATCACTGAATAGTCTTTTGTATTTCTGTTATCATCTCTTATTTGTTTTGAGTTTGTTTTGATGTTCTATGTGAGAATCAAATTTTACTGAAAGTTAAAAATCCTGTTCTATAGTTCCACTGGGCTTAAACCTTCTTTTAATATAGGTACCATAAGGAAATCCATATTTGTTGAAGGCATCACTATTTGCACTCACCTCTGACATTTAGAGTGACATGTAGAAGTTGGCATGATGAACAAGGTAGATAGGAGATACATCTTTGAGATGATGAATGAGTTATTCAGTGTGGATGCCAACACTGTTATCAAGCAATGATCACATATCATCACATACTTGATAATGGTGTAAGTATCAACAGTGAAATGTCACATTTAATTTTAATAGAGTTATGGATGCATAGAATTATCTTCCTTGTACAGCGCTCTGGTTGAAATTTAGTGATTGTCATTCGAGGATAGATCTTTCATTTAGTTGTCATGTATGCTTACAGATCTGCACAAAGTTCAGCCAATGTGTTACACAAGGACTACACTGTCATCATCCACTTGACTGCTTCTTCTACCTGAGGGACAATGATATTGCTGAGTTACAGAAATTACTGCAGGTATGAATACCCATGAAGAAAAGTTGTTTATCCAACCATATGACATCCAAATCGTGTAAGTTTAGAGTTGTAGAATATGCTTTTAGTTTTTTAATTGTTTTGATAGCTGTCAATTAGCCATATCTTTAAACCTATACAGGGGAAAGTGTCCTTACAAAATATTTACTTTGACCTTTTCCAGTCACTATTGATGCTGGACCATGACCAATTCATTCAAGTCATATCTCGAAAATAATTGAAGTAACACTACCTACTCAGTCAGTTAACAGTACAAGATGGTAGGGGTGGGTATTGCAGAGAATTTTCATATTGCGATATATTGCGATGCGGAAGCATATATTGCGATATGTATTGCAATATATTGCAAGGATTATTTTTTTAACAAAAACTACTTATAATCGAGTTAATGCTTGATTATAAAGCAAAAACACAACAAAATCACTATGATTGTTTAACCTTTTATAAAAAATTTAATCATGACAAAATAAAAATGTAAGTGACATTTGGCACTAATGAAACAGGGAAAAGAACAATTAAAAAAAACGGAAATATCCGAAGATTTCCGTGTGTTACGAAGTTTTCCGAATGCATGTCAAAAAAACGGTTTTCGATCAGCGTATCGCAATACGCATCGTTTTCATGTCTGAACCGGGAAATACCGGTAAACCGGTTATATTGCGCAACCCTACAAGATGGCAGATATTAAGTACCATGATATGGAATAATAACAGATTCATTAAATCTACTATTGTCACAAAGTTTACTTCTTGGTTTGGGATGAAGTCCATGAAATCAATAGTAGACTGTAGAAGTTTCCAATGAGTTAGGTGAGGAATTTTCTCACATATGCCCAGTGTTTGCAATACTTAAATTTTCTCTTCTTATTCCCATCCCTACAAACAACACAACATCCCACACAACAGCAGTAACCCATGGCTCAGCAGCAACTTTTTTAAGACTGGATCCTTCACAGCATAAAGTATCGTTTTAGTATTGTGGATAAAGAAGACTTTGTGACATTAACTTTGCAGAAGTTGAGAATAACCTCATTCAATAACACAGTAGTGCATGTTGAAAATACCATAATTCCTTCAAATACCCTACCTCTAGTACATCATTACATGAAAAATAGTTTTGGGTTTTCATCAAACCAGAAAATCTTTAGACATCCTCTTCAGTGCCAACTATCTTTGGAATAGTCTATAGGCAAACACTCTCCTCAAGATTTGCAAGACAGGAAAATGTCACTTCTTTTCTCTGAATAATAATAATGAGTATTTATAAGCGATGTATCCATCCACAAGGTGCATGCTCAAAGCGCATAAAATGAGAGAAAAGACACAGGTAGTGAAATAATAGTATGAAATAAAACTTATGAATGATAGCCTGAAATAAAGCCTATGAATAATAGCAGGAGAAAATGTCTATGAATTAAAGTTCATGAATGATAGGGTGAAATAAAGTCTATGAATAATAGCCTGAAAATAGTTGCGTCTTGAGTTTTGATTTGAATACAGTTAATGATGATGAAAGTTTGATGTCCAGAGGAAGTTTGTTCCATAGTCGAGGAGCTGCGTGTCTAAAAGACTTCTGTCCATAGCTGGTAAGATTATACTTTGGTGTGTTCAGAAGATTCAGATTTTGAGATCGAAGAGTCTTTAGAGGGATGTAGTCTACTAGCATATTAGAATGATATGGTGGTGCCATATCATTTTGACATTTGTACACCATACACAGAATTTTAAAGTTGATTCTCGCTTCAATGGGAAGCCAATGCAAATCCTTAAGAACTGGCGTTATGTGCGATGATTTTGGTGTTCTCGTCACTATCCTGGCAGCAGTGTTCTGGACTTTCTGGAGCTTGTACAGCTGACGTTTACTGATTCCTATCAGTAAGCTGTTACTATAGTCAAGTCTAGAATGAACAAGCATTTGCACAAGTCTTTTAGCGGCATCTCGTGTTATGAGATGGCTTATTTGACTGATACAACGTAGATGGTAGTAACAAGTTTTACAAAGTTTAATTATTTGCAGTTCCATAGTAAGCTGAGAATCAAAGATGACGCCAAGGTTTTTTACATGGTCAGCAAAAGGGATTGAAGCATTTCCAACTTCAACAGAGGTGACAGGAATGTCACGCAAATCATGTTTAGTGCCTATCAAAAAAACCTCTGTTTTCTCATCATTTAGCTTCAACATATTTGATGACATCCAGGACTTGACATCAGTTGAGCAATCAGTAGTACGTTGTACAGCCTCCTGAACATTCTCGGGTTTGAAGCTGTTAATCAGTTGACTGTCATCAGCATAAGATTGATGGCCCATTTTATTATTTTCTATCACTCTAACAAGACTAGTTGTATAAAGCACAAACAGCACAGGAGCCAGCACAGATCCTTGAGGTACTCTACTCGATAGTAAGAAACATTTAGACTCTTCTTGATTGATAATGACAGTTTGTGATCTATTACTCAGGTATGACGCAATCCAGGTAAGCGCAACATCTGTAATTCCCATCTCCAGATAAAGTCTTGAGAGTAGTAGCTTATGGTCCACACTGTCAAACACTGCGGATAGATCTAAGAGTGTTAATAAAGCAATATTCCCATCCTCAACTCGATTTCTGAGCTCATTCATGACTCGCAACAAAGCAGTTTCTGTACTGTGGTTGTCACGGTAGGCAGACTGAAACTCATCCATAAGTCCATTTTCTGTGAGATGATCTTTAAGTCTTATATTCACAGCCTTTTCGATGATTTTGGCGATAAATGAAAGATTTGACACAGGCCTATAGTTTCTCAGATAGTTAGGGTCTTAATCGCTTTTCTTGAGAAGAGGCTTCCCAATAGCAGATTTGAGAGAGTCTGGAAAAACTCCAGTGGATATACTCAAATTCACCAAATTGGTAATGAAAGGAAGAAGTTCATCCAAATAAACCATCAACATCGATGTGAGTAGTATATACAGTGGGGGTACGAGATCACTTTTGCCAAAGGCCTCTGTAAAGCTTTATTTCATAGATAAAGCCTTTATCAGGCCCCGATCTCTTCCCCCCAGTGTATATACCACTTTTGAACCCCAACCAACTTCCTGGGCACTATGACCATGAGCCAACACTGTCCTGGTCACGTGCCACTATTGTGATCGCCCTATATAATGTTGGCCTCTAACTCAGCACAATTTCAAGACATTATGTGAATGTTTGCAGTCCATTCAGACTCTTGACTTCAGTATCTAGTGTGACCACCACCAGGGGCAATAACTGCAGCACAGCGTCTATGCATCGAGTGCACCAATCGATTGATGATGGGCCATTGGCACCTGGAACCACACTCTGAGAAAAACCTGGCTCAATAAATCGGCTTTGTTCAGCCTTGGTATGACACTATTCAGTCTCCTCTGAATTTCATCCCAAAGATGTTCAATTGGGTTTAAATCAGGACTAAGGGCTGGCCAGTAGTATATACAATGGTGGTACGGGACCAGGTCCCCCCAAGGGCTCAAATTAAAAATTTGAGCCCTCGGGGAGCCCCTAATCCCGTACCACCATTGTATATACTACTGTTTGATGTGCATGTCAGAAAGGAGATACATGACAATTATTCAGCAGTGGATGATCTGTAAGGGACTGTGTCGCGAGGTGCGATCATCAACTCCTCTCTGACGAATGCTCTCGGCGGCCCATCTTTCAAGTAGTACAAGTTCGGTTCACCGTCTTTGATGTCGACCAGGTCTACGTTGTACATTTTCATGGACCATCTCGGATCGGTGGCGCGTTTTCTGCTGTCTCCCTTGTATTCTCCTGGCTGGTACAAGTACCTAACGCTGACACGGTCCGGTGAAGTTTTCTCTGCTTTATCGTGACGTCGTGCCGCCGGCCGGTGACGATTCGATGGATTTCATTTTTATGCCTTTGACGGGTCTCTTGCCCACGAGTCTGGTGCAGCCACCACTTGAGGCAAGCGTACGACCCATTCTGTGTTTCTGTTTCGGGATCCACCAAATCCCGCGAGTACTGGTGCGAGAACAGACGTTTGGCTAAGGTGTGATTGAATCTCTCGACTATGGCTTGGCTACGGTGAGCTCCTGCCACACCTCGTCTCACTTGGACTTTGTGCTTGGCCAGCAGCTGCGACACGGCTCCTATGAACTCGCGTCCGGGATCGACTTGCAATACGGTAGGCCATGTCAAGTGACTGCGTTTGTATATGCGTTCAAAGGCTTTGGCGACTTCATTCGAATCTTTCGTTGTCAACGGTTCGGCTTCCTTGTAGCGACTGGCGACGTCAACGACGATCAGGGAGTACTTATAGGTTTTGCGCCTCACCCTGTCGTGAGGGAGAAACAGGAGGTTGGCTTGGTGAACGCGATTCGGCGTTGAAATGTCAAATTTTCTTCTCGGGATGTACCGAGGCGCCAGCAGGTAGACTTGCCAGATGGCTTGTTTTTTGAGCCAGGCTTTGGCTTTCTCTTCCGAAACTCGAGCAGCTTTGGCGAGTTTCAGGATGGCATCCGCGCCTTTCCAGTACCCACGCGGGCTGTAGTATATTTTCTCCACTGTGTATGTATTACCTGAGCGTTATTTATTCATTGCACGCGTTGTGTCCGTACGCATAAGTGGTGATTTCATCGTCGGCAATCCATCGTTTCGTGTACATGGGAGACAGCGATGTCTTGTTGATCATCAGTCCGTATATCCTATGTCCATAGCTTCTCAACATGTTCATCTGGTGTTTGAATGTTTTGTTTTCGAACAGGGCTTCCTTAAATCTGGCGTGCTTGATTTATTTTTTCACCTCATGTTTTTTCACGCCTTTCGCCTTCTTGATTTCACCGTCGTTGGCTTTCTTGATGGAAAACATCTTGGGTCTCAAGCCGACGTACTCAGCGATCAGCGTGCCCTGCGCACTCGTCCTTCATCTTGCCGAGCACTTTTTAGTTGACTTGGCTGCGCATGGGGTGATCTTTGGGGTAGTCGCTGGTGTCGTACAGGTGCATGT